AACATAGGTGAGAAGTTGGAGTTTGATGAGCCACCGGATTTGTGGAGGAGGAGGTACATTTGGCAACAAAGTCGGTCTTACCTGAGGGCTGAGAAGCAGGAACAGCAAAGGGGTTGGGTGCTCACTTCACACCCCCGGGCTCCCCCAGGGGTCCCGCTAGATTAGCTCATGAAATGCACTGGTTGTGACTTCCACCCGCCTTTCGGCCTGCATCCTTAGTGGAGCATTTTCTATTTTTAGTTAAGTTAGTTAAGCTCAATAAATATGCCTACTGTCTTTAAAACACAAAACTCCAAAATGTTAGTTGTTTGCAGCTAGACCAGGAAAGGAGCCATGGTTTTTGAGTTTTCATAATGAAAAAGGTAAAAGCTAGGGCATCACGCAGAGGGTGAGGAGTCTGCATGCCCTGTGTTCGCTGTCCTCCAGACGTCTCCGGACTTTGTCCCAGGCTGCCCGAGAGGATAGAGGAGGTCCTTCTCCCTTTAGGTTCTTGGACCGGCCTTAGCTTAGTCCTTGGGGCCCTCCCCTGCATGCCGCCCGTCTTCCGGCAGCCTCTCCGCCTCGGCTCTGTGCTGTCCGACACGGCTCCTGCCCTTGGAATGCCTTTCACCTTGCCTTCCTGACTCCTGCTCGTTCAGGAAGCATCTTCTGTCGAGTGCCTCCCCTGACGTGCCTCTCAGCTGCCCCTGAAGCCTCCACCTGCACCGCGCCCGAACCCCTGCAGCGCCCTGTCCAGGGCTCTGCACGTTGGCACGTGCTGACACACTGACCTGTCCCTTTCCCCCCGCACAGGTCTCTAAGAGCTGCCGGACAGGCCCATGCTTGCTGGGCTTCCATCCTCCGTGTCCCGCCAGGCACCGGGCTGTGAGACGCACGGAAGGTGATGGCTGAGTCCAGGTGCTGGGCCCCGTCTCCCAGCTCGCCCCACTGCTGGCCGGCGGTGTGACCTTGGGCACAGTGCAGGCTCTCCCAGCGCCTCCATCTCCTCATTTGTAAAACAGGCACGTGGACCAGCGCCCAGCCCGAGGTTTCTGCGCGGATTGAAGGGGGGAACTGGAGACAGCACAGTGTGGGGGTTAAAGAGCTTGGCCCCCTGCTGTGAATCCTGCTCTGCCGCTTGTACTTGGTGGGACCGTGAGCAAATTAACTTGACCCTCTGTGCCTGGGTGTCTCATCTCTAAAACAGTCATGGTACCGCCTGCTAGGGTTGCTGTAAACACTCAGTGAAGGTGTAAAAATGTTAGCGGGTAGATGTGGTAGAGGAAGCACTCACACACTGGCTGTTGGTGGGTGTGCAGTTGGTGCCAGGGTGAGCCGAATGGGCGGCACGGTGGCGTCGCCCGCACCCGTGTAACCAGGATTTGACAGGCTTGGCCCCTTTCCAAGCAGGCAGTCTCGCTGATGATTCTAAATGGAGAGGAGAGCCAAATGGATCGCTTTAAGCAGTTTTCAGGGACAGCGACTATTTCTCATACAACCCACATCTGAGTGACTTGCTTTTCCCTAATTCCCAGATGTCTTCATTCAAAGAGTATGGGAGCCTGTGGTTCAAGGGATTAGAGGTAGTGATTTAGAACAAAAGCAGGGGTCATGGTAATTTGAAGAAAGCAAAAGAAGGAAATTTTTCTGAACTGTGTTGTTTTCATATATAGCAGCAGGGTGCAGACGGTGTGTGCAGTCGCCTGTCTTCGTGTCCCTGGACGTGGAAATTCTCGCTTGGTTTAGTCCTCACACACTCCCTTAGCCCACACCTGTGCTTTCAGGTGCCCTGGGTGTCTTCTTTTGATTCCCCCAAGAGCAGACCCTGAGCCACAGATTCAGAGCAGGTGTTTATTTGGGAAGTGATCCCAGGAAGCACAGGAAAGGTTGTAAGGGTGCCCGCAAAGGGTCCATTAATGAATAGGTGCTGCTCACATTTAGAATATCAAACTGAATTCCTGGAAAATACCTGAACCGATTTTTCCATCAGACTTCATCTCAAGTAAGACATCCAGCACTTCTGGTACAATTCTTGGAACTCTCTTTAGCTTCTCACCTTCTTATCTACCATGGTCAGTCCCTTAGAAATCCTAATAACTGCTTTACCTCCACTCCCACCTTGGTGCAGGCACCATCGAGTCTCACGCGGTTCACTGCAGTAGACTCCTGGCTGGTCTGGGCCACAGTCCTGTCTCAGCTGCCTTGTTGATCTTGGCTCCTAGCTGGTCTCCCAGCTTCCACCTTTACCTGCCTGCTTTGATCCATTCTCAACATCGGAGCCAGAATGATCCTTTTGAAACATTCAAGTCCTTGTCATTTTTCTATCACAATCTTTCAGCGACTGCCCTTTTCACTTGTGGTGGAAAGCTCAGTTTTCCTGCGGGTCACTCACTCAGTCCTGCTGTCTTCCATGGCTCCCTGCTCCAGCCCTGCTGTGACTTGGGCTCTTCCGTCTGCTTGCAGTGCTCCTCCCTCGTGATTCTCATTCTCATGGCTCCTTGCCGCCTTCAAGCCTCGAGTGGCATTTTGTTGAATGAGAGAACGGATGAGTGACTTGTGAAGTTCTGGTACAGTTTGTAGTGTGTTGGAGGTGCCAATACTGTCTTCTCGTTTACGTCTCACCATAGCGTTGTGTGGTAGCTGCGACTGTCCCTGTTTTGCAGTGGGGGAAACTGAGCCTTCAACGTTGACTAGCCCCCCACGCTGACTTTCCAACCGTCTTGACCCCGGCTAACAGGGAGGGAGTAGGAGTATATTGTGCGTGCTCACGGGTGTGGACGTGTGCTGTCCTGACCCTGGCTCCCAGGACGGAGTATGTTGTGCGTGCTCACGCGTGTGGACGTGTGCACATGTAACTGAGACATATCACAAGGTGTCGGCCTCCTGTGTTTGAGGCATTCTGACGTTTTCTACTCTGTCCTAGTCAGTTTATGACTTTAATTGCTAGTTTCTAATCACTAAATTGATTGTAAGAAACCCTTTTTGAAAAATACTTGTCTGCGTTTTTAATTCTGCATCTGTTGCTTTTTCCTGTAGCAACATCTGAACTAGGTTTCTCAAAAATTATCTGCACTAAAAACAGCATATAGTACACAGCTGAGTTGTAAATTAGGCATTACAAGTTATTTCTTTCTCTGCTGACCTTTGTGAAAGATGATAAGGGGTATGTAAATAAATGCAGGATTGTTGAGACATGATAGGATTAAGGGAAAAATTTAAATGGCTAACAGAAAAGGAAGGGCAAAGGTCTCCATCAAGCAATCGCAAATAGAGGAATTAAAATTTGCCACTGATATGAAATGATGGTAGGCAGGAATGAGCAGAAACTCCTTACACTCTGACCAAGGCATCTGTTTGGGGATGACATCCCTGGAAGCAGTCATGTCTCAGAGCCCATTAAATTGAGTCAGCACCATAGAGAGGAATCAGAATAATAGGAGAGAAGTTTGTGTATCATGCCTGGTCATTCCAGGTTGGTGGCCTAGCAAACTCTTCTTCGTGGGCTCTTCTGAAGGGTCCGCATGCTGGTTGGCCAGCACAGGCTGTCCTTTGAAACCAGAGGAGAACTTGCCACTGTCCTGGGCGCCGAGTTTAGTACATCTACAACCTGCCCTCTGGAGAAAGAGAAAACTGTCGGTCTTAGTTACTTAGAATCCATTCAAAAATGAATGTCATAATTTGTTTTATTATTTTTTTAGAGCAGGGAGAGGCAGAGGGTGAGAGAGAGAATCTCAAGCAGGCTCCATACCCAGTGCGGAGCCTGACACGGGGCTCGATCCCACGCCCCTGAGATCATGACCTGAGCCAAAATCAAGAATTGGACACTTAATTGAGCCACCCAGGTGCCCCTAAATGTCGTAACTATTTTAAAGAAGACACTACAGTCAAACCAGAGATGAGGTGTTACAGTAACAGAAGCCGAAGTGAAGGGTCAGCTTTGGAAAGTCCGGCATTGTGTCTGTATGAGATGGCTTTCCCTTCGTTGAGAGCATGGGTGGCATTAATATGGACCTTTTTCTTTGGTACTGAATTAAATGTTTGCCTTGTATGAGATGCTGGCTCATCGAGCCTTTGCAACAACCCTAAAGGAGGGTGCAGTCGTCCCATCCATTTCACGTGAGGGACCTGGTACTCAGCCAGGAAGGAGGCAGCCTCTCACTGCCGTACCTCTGCCAGAGCCCACACCCAGCCACCAGGCCTTCACATCTCACCTTTAGATTAGAAGAGAATTGCCGTGAGATCTCATTTCAAACCCCTTAATTTAAAATTAGTAGTAATTACGTTTAGATCAGGCTATAGTCTCCTCTGTGCTAGCCTTGAAAATGTGATTTGGTGAGAAAAAAGTATTCAGGAGATTGCAAGGTGGTTAGCATAAGAAAGAAACCAAGCTCTTCTGTTGTTTAACATTCTAACCTTTGCTGAACACTGTGATACAGTAGTGATCAGTAAGTGAAATTTTTCTTTCTTTTTCCAGATTCTTCCCTATTTTTAAAGGTCTGGTGAGACACCCCCCCCCTTTGCAACCCAGTGGTCACAGTTCACAAGGTGGATAAGTACGTCCAAGGATAAGACTGACTTCTTTCAGAATCGCAGACTCAGGAGCTTCGATTCTTCATGCTTACTCTCTGAACTAAGAGGGATAGAACCGAGCGTCGAATGGATAAGAACCCTAAATAGCCAACCTTTCATTTCAAACAGGGCTGTTCCGCACAGCGGCCGAGGTCCAGCAGCCCTCTGCTGGTATGGGAACACCTGTGCTACAGTCTTCAGTCCTAAAACCGCTCGGCGGCAGTGACTGACATGCTCCAGGAGCCCCGAGACCACTGGCCGCTCTTTCCCATGTTGTCAACCTAAGATCGTTCATCCACACAGCTTTTGTCTGCCTACAGTCCGCTCAGCACTGGCACCTATGAAAAGACAGCTAGGGCTCCCTGCCCTTGAGCGCTTCATCCCAGGGCGAGCTTTTCACACCACATTTTTCACAATAAGTGTGTACTTTGTCTTTCAGGTAAGCGCCCACGATGGAGGGGCTGCTGCATTACATCAACCCGGCACATGCCATCTCTCTGCTGAGCGCGCTCAACGAGGAGCGCCTCAAAGGACAGCTGTGTGACGTGCTTCTGATTGTTGGAGACCAGAAATTTCGAGCGCATAAAAACGTCTTGGCCGCCAGCAGTGAATACTTCCAGAGTTTATTCACCAACAAGGAGAATGAGTCACAGACTGTCTTTCAGCTTGACTTTTGTGAACCAGATGCTTTTGATAACGTTTTGAACTACATTTATTCTTCATCTTTATTTGTTGAGAAAAGCAGTCTCGCGGCCGTGCAGGAACTAGGCTATAGCCTTGGGATTTCCTTTCTGACTAACATCGTCTCTAAAACACCTCAGGCCCCCTTTCCAACGTGTCCCAACAGGAAAAAAATATTCATAGAAGATGATGAAAGCAGTTCTCAGAAGAGAAGCGTCATCGTTTGTCAAAGTAGAAACGAAGCCCAGGGAAAAACTGTGAGTCAGAATCAGCCTGACCTAAGCCATACGTCCCGGCCCTCCCCTAGCACTGCAGTCAAGACCAGCACCAGTAAGCCCCACGTTCCCAAACCGGCCGAGCCACTCCACACTTTGCCACTGGCTGAAAAGAGCTGGCCGAAAGATGGTTCTGTGGGCTATGCAAAGTCTCTGGAGCACGCGGGGCCTCTGGATGACCCCAACAGAAGCAGTTTGCTGAAAAGGAATGCACCGCTGCAGGACAGAGAGGCGATGGACGATACGGCCGGTCTCAGCGGCCAGCTCCCCAAAGGCAAAGCCATAGAGTTGGCTTTGAAGAGACCACGGCCCCCGGTGTTGTCTCTCGGAAGCTCGTCAGAGAACCCCTACGTGCTGAAGGAAACTCACAAAGGAGGCGGTCCGGGTGAAGATCGAAACCTGCTGTACTACTCCAAGCTGGGGCTGGTGGTCCCGTCCGGCAGCTCTGGCTGCGGGAAGCCAGGCATCGACAGAAGCGGCCCGCTCGTCAAGAGTCTTCTCAGGCGGTCGCTGTCCATGGACAGCCAGGTGCCCGGCCTCTCACCCTCCATAGATTTGAAATCTTCCCAGGGCCGCTCCACAGTGGCAGGTGAGGTGCCGGGGAGCGGCTTCTGTGCTCTGTCGCAGCAGTCGTCTCTGAAGGAGTGCGGGGAGAAGGCGGCCCTCGATGAGCGGAGCCCCGCGCCCCAGCCCCACCGCCTCCGGTCCTTCAGCGCCTCCCAGTCCACAGAGAGGGAAGGGGAGCCTGCTGTGACCGAGGTCCGCATCAAGACGGAGCCCTGCAGCCCCCTGTCGGACCCCTCCGACATCATCCGCGTCACTGTGGGAGACCCGGCCGCGGCGGCCGCCGCCAGAGACCTTTCCCTGACAACTGAAGACGACCAAAAAGACATGAGCAGGCTCCCAGCGAAAAGGAGGTTCCAGGCGGACCGAAGGCTGCCGTTGAAGAAGGTGAAGGAGGACGAGCACGGGTCTCCGGTGTCCGAAGAGAACTTCGAGGAGGGCTCGAGCCCTCCCCTCCCTGATGCAGAGTTTCCAGATTCTGACTTGAATAAAGATGAATTTGGTGAGTTGGAGGGAACAAGACCAAACAAAAAATTTAAATGCAAACATTGCCTTAAGATCTTTAGATCGACCGCAGGTCTTCACCGGCACATTAACATGTACCATAACCCAGAGAAGCCCTACGCTTGCGACATCTGTCACAAGCGGTTTCACACAAACTTCAAAGTGTGGACGCACTGTCAGACCCAGCACGGCATAGTGAAGAACCCGTCACCAGCCTCTAGTTCACATGCCGTTTTGGATGAGAAATTCCAAAGAAAGCTGATTGACATAGTGCGAGAGAGAGAGATTAAGAAGGCCCTGATCATTAAGCTGAGGCGCAGCAAGCCTGGGTTCCAGGGGCAGAGTAGCTCCCAGGCCCAGGCCATCAAGAGGAACTTGCGGTCGCGAGCCAAAGGAGCGTACATTTGTACTTACTGTGGAAAAGCCTATCGCTTTCTCTCGCAGTTCAAGCAGCACATAAAAATGCACCCGGGAGAAAAGCCCATTGGCGTCAATAGAGCTGCTAAGCCCAAAGAGCATGTTTCTCTCGAGAGTCCAGTAGAGAACAAGGAGGTTTACCAGTGCCGCCTCTGTAATGCTAAGCTCTCTTCTCTTCTAGAGCAAGGAAACCACGAGCGATTATGCAGAAACGCAACCGTTTGCCCCTACTGCAGCCTTAGGTTTTTCTCGCCGGAGCTAAAGCAGGAGCACGAGAGTAAGTGTGAGTACAAGAAGCTGACGTGTCTCGAGTGCATGCGCACCTTCAAGTCCTCCTTCAGCATTTGGCGGCACCAGGTTGAAGTCCATAATCAGAACACCATGGCGCCGGCTGAAAATTTCTCCTTACCCACTCTGGACCACAATGGTGATGTGACTGCTGCCGCCAGGGCCCCGGCCCAGCCCGAGCCCCACAAGGCCAACCACGCGGTCCCCGCCAAAGACGACAATGCCTTCAGTGATTGTTCAGAGCAAGTGAACTTCGATTCAGAAGACTCCTCCTGTCTCCCCGAAGACCTCAGCCTCTCGAAGCAGCTGAAAATCCACGTCAAAGAGGAGCCCACAGAGGAGGCCGAGGAAGAGGCACCCGAGGCCCGCGCTGCCCCCAAGGATGCCGGCTCCAGCAAGGACACCAGCCTGTGGCCCTGCGAGAAGTGTGGCAAGACGTTCACGGCGCACAAGCAGCTGGAGCGGCACCAGGAGCTCCTGTGCTCCGTGAAACCCTTCATCTGCCACGTGTGCAACAAAGCTTTCCGCACCAACTTCCGGCTCTGGAGCCACTTCCAGTCCCACATGGCTCAGGCTACGGAGGACCCGGCGCACAAAGACTCGGAAGCGTGCCCTGTGCTCACAAACTCTCCGTCCCCGCCCCCGCTGCCCCCACCCCCGCCGCTGCCCAAGATCCAGCCTCTGGAGCCCGACAGCCCCACAGCCTTGTCTGAAAACCCCGCTCCTGCCCCGGAGAAACTGTTCGTGCCCCAGGAATCCGACACGCTTTTTTACCATGCCCCCCCCCTTTCTGCAATCACCTTTAAAAGACAGTTCATGTGTAAACTGTGCCATAGGACATTCAAGACGGCCTTCAGTCTTTGGAGTCACGAACAGAGCCACAACTGAAAGACCGCCCCTTTTCACCTGCCACAGAGGGGACGGTGGTCTCCAGAGTTCCTCCACCTAAATTCTGAAACGTGCATAAGAAACAAAATATTTTTTAAAAGAGAATAATAAAGGTTGGAAATTGTTATGCTTGAATAGAAGTTTGAGGTAAATTGATACTAATTAGTGATGTCCTTACTCACCTTAGGAAAACTAAAATCTATTGTGCTTTGGACCTTACCAGTCACAGGATGATTTGACTTCATTAATGTTGAAATGTGACTGATCTTGGTTATTTGCATGGTTCCTCATTCCACGGTGTCAGTATAATCTTTTCCCGGAGGTGGTTTTGGTTTTGCCATCAGTGAAACACTATTCAAGTGTTTCTTTTGATTATATCAGACACCTAAGTTCTAGTTCAATGTCAGCCACGTTCCGAAGTCCACAACGCATCAGGAGGAAGCGGAGTAGTTTGCAGCGTTGAGTTAGATCTTAGGATACTTTAGCAATAAAACAATGATAAGCCTCAACTTTAATAAGTTATCCTGACACTTGATAACAATAAATAATTTGGTATTTTGTGGTCATGTAGAAATTTTTTTGTATGAAAATAGTGAGAAATTTAAATCAGCAATAGTGATACTTAGATTTTTATAAAACAACAAAAGCTTGCTCTTGGGTCATTTAACATAACTAAGGATGGAAGATTTGGGAAATGAAAATGTGAGGGTGTCTCGAAGTCCTCCAAGCCCGTTTACAAAAGCTTCCGTGGCGATAGGCATTGTAATCAGAACTGCTGTGCTGTGTGCGCGGGCCTCAGGTCTCAGCTCCGACCAGCATTGGGAGGACGTGTTTGGTCTTCTCCGATTCATGCTGTCACCAGTGGGAAATCGGAGTGCGTTTGGGACCGAAAACAAAGGCAGCATAAGGCACTCACTCATTTTGAATTTAACAGCATTAGTGGGACAGTTAAGGTTGGGACATACACTTAGGTACCTCGGTCCCACGCCCGCGGTCAGGACAGCCCCTGTAAGTCCCGAGTTAGCATTGACTTCCCAAGATGGGACGTGGGGGAGAACACCATGCCACGGTCCCCACGCGCTCTCAAGAACAGTGTTCACAGCGTACCATTTCCTGCCTCTGTTTCTGTTAGAATTTGTTGGAGTTCTTTGTGGTAAGATGTCCTTATAGCAATCATTCTGCTTTACGTCACTGCTTTAACGTTTCATAAATCTGTATTAAAGCACTATCAAGGGTCCAAAATTAGTTTTCGCTACCTATTTTGGCCCATAGGGTTTGGGCTGTTCTGTTTTGTTTTCTGTTTTGTTTAAGTTGTAATTAAAAGGCTTTTTTAGGTGTTTCTAAAGGGAAAACTTGTATTTCACTGGTACAAGTGAGGGGTTAGGTATGGACAAGTGGAAATATTGTTGAAACTACAAAATCCTTTTAAGATAGTGCTATGGATGAAGACTCCCAAGTTTATTAATTTTTTTCTTACAAGCTATTCTCTCAAATAAAAAAAAAATTACTGTGACTAAGAAATAATTTGCTGAGTACTTCAGTGTGTACCACTGTAGCAGGAAAGAGCTCAGTACTCGTCAGTCTCATCACCCACATTCCATACCAGTGGTAGGAAAGACATTCTTAACTTTTTATCGAAACAAGCCTTTTCATAAGATACCAGTTGGCTTTGTAGATTAGAGAAATTGCATGTGAAATCTTGCCTTTTTATTTTTTCATTTGAAAACTACCACAAGTCACAGAATATTTGAGTGCTCCCTTCCTAATTTTGTTCTTACTTAAACTTGATGGAGAAAGGAAAATAAAATGAAGTTGCAGTAACCGATTATTGCCATCTTTATATTTTCTTGAAGAAATCTATGCATTTTCAAGATGAAACTAAAGCGTATGATGTTCCGTGAGCCATCAGGGTGGATTACTGTTCCCTGAATTAATTCCCTGTATAATGTGCTCTTTTCTTACTCTGAACACCTTGGTAGCTGTCACTTCTTCGGAAAGACAGCTTCCCTCAGAGTAGTCCTTGCTTCTGGCTGTTAGAGCGTGTGTGTGAGAATTTCCACGGCACACGTGATCTTGGCATTGTAAATTCAGTATCCCAGGACTTGAACCTTTATGCTACGTTTTTGAAGATTTTTTAATAATGTTCATCAGTAAAAAATATTTTTGATCTAAATATAGGCTCAGCGTATCTTTTAGATAGTGTTTTGTCTCGTTCGTTTCACGTTTTTGTCTAGGCAAGGAACGTTAAGATTTCAAATAAAATTTCGAACCAAAAACATTTATAATGCAGTTCTGGTTTTTCTATTACTTTTTATACTCTACCTTCAAAGCGTCAGGCTGAAAGAGTTTATTTTGGTGGTCAAAAAATAAAATATGCTTCAACTCATGTAACTATTTTAAATGTCAGGAAGTAAAATAATGAAAGACACACAAATCGCTCCTTTTAAGAATGTTGATCTCAGACGGTGGGCAGACACTCGGTCTGTGAGACAGGTTGGTCTTTCATTGTTAGGACACCAGCTTGTAAAGGTATTCTCGAAAATGTTTTTTCTGATTAGAATTAATTTTTGAAAATGTAGGAAGCTTGTTATTCCTTGTAAGTATTCAGGCTGCCTTTTTTTATGCAGTTGTGGAAAGAATGTAAAATGTTTTAATATATTCTTTATTAATCTGAGAACTTGCTATCGAATCATTTTCTTCACGTGGGAGAGGGAAAGAGGAACACCCTAAAACATCTTTTTCTCAAAGTCAGCAATGGAGGTTACAAATAGTGTGCATTGTCTATAGTAATATTTCAATTTAACAGAATATTCACCGTTAAAACTAGTTATGGCTAGTGTGCATTTATTGTTTTATCAAAATCTACAACTAAGAGTTCAACCAGGATATCACTTTTGCATTTGTGGGGGCATATATGTGGTTCTTGGTTTTCTGTTTTGGAGCGGATCCTTAATAGCCTTTTTAAAAATATGCTTCAGCTCTTATCAATCAGTGGTAGTCTTATCCACACACAGCACCAGTTGGTGCTGATGTGGGAAGTTGTACAAGAATAAAACGTGCCCTTCCTTGGAGGCAGGGGGTGTCTTCCTCTGTAGGCCAGTGGCCCGTCCAGGGGAGAAAGACCCAAGAATCCACTGTGTGTGTGTGTGTGTGTGTGTGTGTGTGTACAACCAGAATCCAGAACCTTAGGAATTAAAGGCATTTGAATTTTCTTACCACAAAAACAATTAGATGTCATGCATAGCAGGTTTCTTTACAAATTGCACTAATTCATATTGGAATATTACAAGTCCGTTTTGTCAAGTTCTGATTTCTCATTGATGTTTTTTGTAATAATTATGAAAAGTGTTATTTAAATAATGCTAATACATTTAATAAGTTCTTTAACACTGGCTTTTTTTTTTTTAAGTTTAAAAAATAGGGTTTTCTTTTGTGGCTTTAGCACTTTAAGAAGTTTTATGTTTCCATCATTGTTAACGTGCTTGTTCAGCACTTCTCCCCGTGTTTGCTTCCATGCGGGGCGGGGTTGGGGGGTAGACTGAGCGGTGGTGTTTACGTTCCGGAGGAGGAGACGTGGGTTAGTGTCAGGTTTTTACGGAATTCCTTTCAGAGACCATTGTTTGGGAACCAAAGTATTTTACTGTAAATCTTGAAAATAATTAAATTGAGTGCTCTCTAGTCATTTATTAGTGCTGTTCTCAAATTTTCCACAGTTACACTTGGTTAATGTTAATTTTCAAATGGGGATAATTTCTTATTGACAATGCAATCCTTGAAGTTTTCATTGAATAAATCTTACTGTTAAAACAAATGTGGTTATAAACAAATTGTGTATATTTTGTCAGATGCTTTAGCAGACTAAATCATTGTTCAATTTTATTTAGGAATGAGCTTTTTGGAACTGAAAACTCATGGTAAAATAGGATTTCTATCTAATGTTAATCCATTGCTTATTTGTATCCAATTCTGTTGTCTGTTTCCTTTGCTTAAATCTTGACTAAGAATGATTGGAGTCAATAAATTTGTACTGTATTTTGTTTTGAGTCATGGTCTCATTGTTATGTTTTGGACGTTAATAACAACAGTTAGTAGTGTATACATTTCTGAAAGTAAAAGATGAAGCCACTCTGGGTGGGTCTCGGAGTAGCTGCCTGAGAGCTGGGTGAGGTGGTGGTTGCCCAGCTTGTCCAGCTTGCTTGGAGAACTAGGTTTGCAGTCAAGTGTTGGTTACCGGGGCGCCACAAATAATGTGATCATTAGAACCTTATATAAGCCACAAGCTTTGCCTACCCACCTCTTTCTTTACTGTTCACATGAGTTTTGAAACAATCGTGGGGGTAAATGCATACACACAACAGGCTTAGTTACCCCACATTGACATTTCAGCATAGCAATGGATAATCTAGTTTTATTGCATGATTTTCACAGCTTCCAGGTCATCCTAACCAGGCCCTTCCGTGATGCCGGGATAGATGGCCTTTTATGTTGCTAGCTTTCCCCGTGAGGGAGAGCCGAGCTGTGGGCATCTCCGATGGCCGCCACCAGACCGTAGGCAGGGAAGGAGCTGGTCTCGGGCTCTCTTCCTCGTCAGATCCCCTAGACCCGTCTTGGGGGCCTCTGGCTAATGGTTTTGTGATCACACGGCACGTGAACAAACAGTATATCATCTTGTTTTAATCCATGTTAGCTCTTTTACCCAGTTGGCCACCAAATACTGTTTTGTTTAAAATGTTTCCTGTGCTCTTTTCTTTGTAGTAATTACAGCCTTTTCGGTCTGGGACTGTTGCAGTCCTGTGGCATCCTCCCCACTCTTAGGCACACACTGAGGACAGTAAATGCCTGTGGTGGCCAAACCACGTTGCCAGCGTGTGACGCTTTCCCTGGCCAGAGGCTCCATCTCGGCTCCGCTGAGCACTGAGCTCTACGAGGTCTGACAGTTGAGTGGCAGGAATTCCTCCTACAAGGCGTGTGTCTGGAGAGCGAGCCTCCCCAAGCTGTCACTGGAACACTTTAAAGCCTGGTTTCGCATGAATATGGGTGTCCTGTGATGGGCCATCGGCCCCATCCTCTGCAGTAGGATCCCTTGGTCACTGCGTCATC